GGTCTCGTAGCTCATCGAGTTGCACACATTTATAGACAACAATGAAGGCATCACCGTTATAGATGTTACCAGTCCCGATGCCCCGGCTTTCGGCTTCCTGCGATCTAAAAACAATATTCTGACACCCGCTCAATATGTACGACAATCTTTCGACATATTCCCTGCAGCTGGGATGCTGGATGGTGGCATAACCGAAGGCTATAGCATAGAGAGTGTGGAGATGGAAGGCGACGAGTCGCTCGTTGAGGACACACTAGAGGGCTATGATGGCGCCCTGGATCAATTTGCGCAAAAGGCGATTGCAGCTCTTGAGGGCGAGAAGATGATCACCTTGGAGATGCTAGCAGAAGCTTGGCCACACGAGTATACCGAAGTTCTGCGCGCTGCCAACAAAAGCAAAGGTCAATTGCCGAAGACATCCGAAGAGCCGCAGCTCAAGGTACCACCGCTGGTCGAAGTGGCTTTAGAACAAGCTCTTGCACATGCCATGCAGTGCGGTGACACGTACTCCCTTGAAGAGTCCCTGTGGCTCCCTGGTAGGGCAGATAGTCTTCTGCAACTACTCCGCAAACAATCTCCGTTCCCGGACTCTGCAATGTCTCTTTTGTTGAAAGTCATCCACGAGATTAGGCGCACCAAATCTCTCGATCTCTCCGAGTCTAATCTCTCTGTGGCGCAATTACATCAGCTCATTCCGGCGCTTCAAGACCTCCGTGCTCTGAATCTGTCGTTCAACCCGAATATAACTGTCGATGTCGTACGTGACCTTCTAGTTGGAGTCTCTTCCTTCAGACGCCTCGTGATCATGGGCTGCCCGCAAGTCGAAGCCAACGCTCTCTGTGCCCTTATGCGGTCCGAACCTTCGTTGTTCTGTCGTCTGGAGTCTCTCATGCATCCCGCACTTCTGGATCCCTCTACGTCTCGCGACTTTCCTCCTGCATTCTCTGTCAGCATTTCCATCGCTGGCGATCCGCTGCGGAAGGTGCTCCCGAAAAACATCTCAAGCATTCATCTGCCTTTCTGCACACCGACAAGTATCGTGGATGGACTTGTACGCGTCATTGATTCAATGTTCGACGCACCCCCGTACATCTCCTACCATTCGATCGTGGCCCAAGCTGCCCTGTCATCTGTGGTCCCTCCGAATGGGAACTGGAACGGACGCATACAATCGACTGTTCCTTCTCCCGAGACGATGGGCTACATCACGTTGTTTGCGCCGTGGACATTTGTCTATGAATTCGATCCCGCGATAATCCCCCGGCCGATCTTCGCAAAGTGGGCATTCGTACGGCGAAAGGCAGCAGAAAAAGTCGAGAGCAACATCGAGAACCACGCTGGCGATGGATTGCAATCTCATGCGACAACATCTGTACAGGGTGAGGCCAAAAGTATGCTGCCGGAGTTCGACATTCTAGATCTACGAGGCTTCCTCCGCGCAATGGCCGAAGAAGGTCGGGATCTGCCATCTGAGGCAGCAGTTCTTGCACTCGAAGCGGTGCTCAAGTTAAGGGGAGACTATGAAGACATCTCGGATAGTGATACTTCAAGCGATAGTGTCACGAGCGATTCGGCGAGCGACAGCACAGATCAGGACGAGGAAATTGAGGACTTCCTCTTGACTCCGGGCCGTATCCAGCAACTCATGGGATGCTGACCACTCTACGTCCCCCAGCTTTCCTCTTCCAGCAATATCTATCGACATCTCTATCTATCGCTGGTCATTCACACCGGAAACTGCTCCAACAAATATCTCAAGCATTCACCTACTCTTCTTCACACCGGCTAGTATCGTGGACGGACGTGTACGTATTATTAACTCGATATTCGACGTGCCCCTGCACATCTCCCATCCCGTAATTTTTGCACTAGCTACCTCGTCCGTCCTCTGTAACCTTGGAATGAGGCACTAGAACACGCGCACATAGTCGACTATCCCTTCTCCCTCCCGAGACACAGGGTACATCGGGCTGTTGTAGTAATCAGATTGTATCCATTTGCTTTTCGGTACCTCGGCATACGGCCTCAGTCTCTTGAACTTGTTCATTTACTCGCCGCGCCCCTGCACAAAGTGATTAAGTACAGATAAGTTCAAGAAAATTATAACATTGGGTTCATACGAGCTTTGGTGTTCGGCCGGACATTTCGTCGCGGGTCTGCGCTTTGAAGAACGCTTCCGATGGTTCGCTTCCGTTGTGTCGCTCCAGGAACTCCTCAACACATGCACGATCCATGAGGGTCCATTCTGACTGACGATCATGGAGGCGTTCACGCCTCAACGGCAGGTGGTATGGGTCAGGCTTGAGGCATTGATGGGTGGGATCGTCTGCAGGTATGTCATCCGAGAAGTCCGTACGGCCCAACAACGTGATCAGTCGGGCAATTGTATTCTCTGGTGGCGGTTCTCGGCCCTCTTTCGCCGCGTCACTCGCGAATCCAGATACGTCGAGGATGTCGAAATCTGGCAGAGAGTCAGGACGGTCCCGCTGATCATCTGCCACAGTTCCCGGGTGCTCTAGCTGGCTACTGGTACTACTTGATGTCTTCATGTGAACGAACGCATATCGACTCCGTGTGTGTAGTTCGCTGTGTAGAGTAGGAGTGTATTGAAGCAACAGACCCCAGTCCGCCGGTAATTCTTCTGGATAGCTTTCGCTTCGTGTAGGAACTGTGCATTGAATCCGTTCGCTCCAGCTCGCTCCGGGAGGTAGGGACGAGGAAAACACAGCCTGTCCAAGTAGAAAACCATGGCGCCCAACCGTGTGAAAACGGTCGCTAAGGAAAGTAGTGACGATGTTTACAAATCCCTTGAGGACAATTTCTGGTGTGAACAAGGGCAACGATGTTCGCCAAAAATCCTTGTTTTGGAAAAATTCGATGACGAGAGTAAATGCGAGGGATTGGGAGGGAGGTTTCACTGGATATACTGGATATAATAGTGCAGGATGCATCAAGGCCTCTAGACAATAAAATAGCTTGGGTCGCAGCTGCATCAGGCTGTGGAGTTCTTCCGACGTGATTAATGGGCATCCCATGATGGAAAGGCGTTTGAGAGTAACGGAGGAATTCAGGATCTCCTGGATGTCATCGATAGTTAATTGAGGATTGAACGACAAATTGAGGGACCTGATTTTGCCGAAGTGACTCAGTACCTGTCGGATTTGTGCCAGCGTAAGATCCATATCCGACAAGTCGAGCGAGGATGTCTCTTGTAATGCGAAGAGAGCCTTGGCTAGGATGGGTATACCGGCATCAGGGAAGGGCGATCGTCCGCGAAGGAGCGACTTCACGTAAGCAGCGTTTTCAGGAACATTGAACAGCAGCTCCACACGAGCAGTATCCCCGTCCAGCGCACGATTTAGGCTGCGCTTCAAGGTAATGTTCGATAGAGATGAGTAGTTGATCGCCTGAGCCCTCTCGGGTGCTTCGCCAGTCCGCTCTGCCCAATCGCGATACCGGTTTCTGAACATGTGAGGCCAGACTGCGGCCAATTGCGCGATCTCGACGACCTTCTCCCCATCTAGACCTCCAGTCATATCGTCTGTAGAAGCTCTATAGTACCCCCTTGCGAAGTCGATCGGTGTGACGATCAGAGGAGAATCTGACCCAAAGTACTCGAATGCCGGAGATTCGGGATCAGTGATATCAATGAAGGTCATGCCCGTGTCATTATCTAGCGCCAAAAATCTAGCTGTAAGTTGCTCAATGTAGAATGCATTGTTGTTACGCACCTTGCGACCGAGGGTCAGCTCTGACATTTAGCACGTTGCCCACCCATTCAAGGCCTAGATAGGTCTCTCCGAACTCCATCATGATACTCCAGCCGAAGGTTAGAAGGGCAGAAGTGAATGGGCAAGGCATCGATCTGCCGATGTTATTCTCGTATAAGCGCAATTCTGCTCGTACAACTTCGGCGTTCTCCTTCTGCTTCAGGAGTGTCAACACCTGCTTGATCTTGACGATTGGGTGACCACCGAGACACCATTGATCGTGTAGAGCGGCCACACAGGCATGCACTGGCTTCCCGTTGACATGTACACGAGCTATGAAGTAGATTTGATGCCGGTAACCCATATGAATCTAGATGTGTGAAGATGCTACGAAGATGTGAAATATGGATGCGTCTTTTTCGATTTGCCGGGATGGCTAGGCCAACAGAAGTCCATGAGAATAGAGACGCAATCACATAACTGGTGAGTACTGCACCCTTATCGTAGATCATACAAGTGTAGGCTCGGAACAAATGATCGCTCACCTCGGACCTTCGGTTTGAGTGGCTCAGGAGTTATCCGGACGGTACAAAATGCAGACGAAGTCAGACTCGAGGATGGCGAGCTGATCTATATCGCACAGACTGAAACCTTGTCGAAGCAGTGCCTCAAAGGCCTTGCCGCGGAAGCTGATACTTATCAGTGTGAGAGAACGTGTGCCATTAAATGATCATGGCCTCCGGCTTCAATATACAACTTTCGAGATCAGACAATCTCATAGACCACCTGACAGCGACCATAGAATACTGCAGACATGAATCAGATTCCCAAGAAGTGGAGGGACGGCAGGACATCGATGCATCCTTTTGATTCTCGGCCGTATCAAACAACTCATGGGATGCTGAATAAGGCTCATATCTCATATTTCTACGTCAGACGGTAATATTTTACCAAGCAAAAACACTCGTAAAAACTTGCAAATAATACAGCCTCTGAGCAATATCAACCGGGACTTCATTGTCACATCTTAGCCCATCTTATTCCTACAACCACCGTATACCCGCGAGTGCTGAAGGCGATCGGCGTCCAATTCTGCCGGGTTCTGCCAACCTCCATATATTTCTCCATCTTGTCAACAACGCTAGCACTGCCATGTAACCCGTCGCTAGTTTCGGCCTGCAGATCGTCTTGGAGGTTTTAGAGGACCCACTGGCAGGTCGCTGGTACAAATTAGTGACAATCTTCGCATTTGTTTAGGGCTATATAGTATGTCATGAACCATAGCATTATGGCCCTGTAGTGTAGCGGTTATCACACGGGATTCTGATCAGATCCGATCATAATCGGTCGATCGAAATTTCCCGTAACCCAGGTTCGATTCCTGGCAAGGCCTCTTTTTGGCGTTGTCGAGATGTTCTACTACGTTCTGTCTTCTTGAAGACACATGATGGTGCGCGGAATTCCTGTCCGTAACCCAGCTTCTATTCTTGTTATGATTGTGAACCTTCATGCAGATGCTCCAAGGTGCATGGAGATGATAGGTTGAGCAGATGTACATACCAATGGTGGTTCCAATTCGGAGGGTAGTGAGCAGTACTATGTGAGCTACATAGACGCTCACAGGGGCCCCGTTGAACATCAATTAATGTTGAGCTCCCTGTTTACGTGTGCAACATATGTGTAGACTCGAATCTAAATAGATTTTGCGTATTCGAAACGGTCTGATCATACTCCAGACAATGGGATTATCTGTCGTACGTTCGTATGAGGCTGTGTCAGCGTTGGGAGCCCTGGTAGTTTCCGGAAACCTCTGTCGTCGCAATAATACGAGAAACAGATAAAGAGCCAGGTGAACGCGGGGGAGGAGGAAAGACAAGTTTCCCATGTCCAATTCCAACCGCGATTTATATATCCACCGGGATCGAAGCATGCGTCGTGAAAGACGCGGCAGAGTGTCGCCGACAGTCGATAGCAAGCCCGGTTAGTCGATCGGGATGGCATACACGGTAGCACACCTGCATAATGAGCGGCATTCTCAGGAAGCTCGAGGCAGAGCACGGCTACGCACCGGAGACATCTAACACAAAGCATGAACAGCACATCATATACCGAATATGAGAGGCAGGTTACCGTTTTGGGAGAGGGGCCGGGGAGGATCGCAGATTGCGGCGTTGATTGTCAAACACACTTGCAGCATGCTGCCTGGAAAAGCAGCCAGAGGCCAAGATGTGACGCAGAGTCGAAGGTACCATACCAGGGTAAAGACTTTCCGAATCCAAACACAGACGTTCTGCCTTGATCTGGTGGGCGCTTCAACTTGCGCGATATAGTAGGGTCCCAATGCTTGCTCAGCACGTGCCCTTGTCGGTACTCTCTTGAACGCAGCCTGTTCACAGCACATTGATTTAGTTGTCCTCTGCATGGTCCAGGTTCATACCCGGCACGGCCTGCTTTCTTCCTGAGAACGCACAAAGTTGGGCGGCAAATAACCAGGCCAAAGGTGCATATAGGGAGCACAGCACCTGCATCCTGTAGACGAGCCTGAGGCCTACGTTGCGCTTAAACTTGTCCTATGCGTAGAATACAACATGAAACAGCATGGTATGCGGGTATTGAGCAAAGCTCCACGCTACCTGCTTATCTGAAGTAGCCCGACCAGAGGACAACCAGACTGTATTACTAGAGACGTATTGTTGCCGATCCTACTTACTGATCAGGACAACAGCAATTTCTTCATGAGTACAGAACACAAGATCTGATGATACAAGCTAAGTCTAAGGCCTGAAGTCCACGGGAAGGGAGTTGAAACAAATACCAATACAGAAAAGTAACACAAACAAGTGGTGCTGCGGCATGTTGCAAGCGCTACCAGGAAAGCGAATCGTAAGCTTAACCAAAAGTCAATAAGAGAGAGTAAACCAAATCACGCCGTGGAAGTGAGAACGGAGTGATTGAGGTAGGGTAATTTTCGATGTCCAATTTCTGGTACCACGTACGCTATTGCGTCAGGCATATAGTACGTCAGAGTCCTCCGCAGCAGCTTTCTCTATGGCGCACGCAGCTCGCTTCGTTCTCTCTGCTTGAAGCCACAGGTTGATCTGACCTACGATCTCTTGCATTATTACTACCACATGGGCACGAATCTTGACCTGCGCAGGGTCGTCACGAGGACCCTCCCAGAGCACCCCAAGTGCCACCTCCATCTACTATCTGCATCAGGACACCGAGAATAAATGCCTATCAAAGCGGAGCACGCACCTTCACGGCGAGGTCAGTAAGCACGTTTTCCAGCGTTTTGCCAACAGCTTCTGCGGAGTTCTTGAGGCGCGACATGAGTACGTCCGCGGCATCTTCAAAGACCTCATCCTTGATGTTCTCGACATGGTCGTGGAACACCATCTGTCCGCCTGTCAGAGAGTCGCCAGCCTACGAGAATCGCGAGAACTTTCTACCTTCTGTCTAGCAACACTGCCCTTGCCACGCTCATCCATCGCACGGTTGTACCCGTCTACAAGCCGGGTCTGAACATGAGGCGCAAGGCATCTACTGACTTCCTTCTGCTCTGTGTTTCTGGTGTCCTGTACGAGCTCGAGTGTCTTCTTGAGTGCGACCCGTGCTTCCTCCACGCAAACTTCGGCTTGAGCTCGAGCGCGCTCCTTGAGGCCACACACAGCAGAGGCTTCCACCTCGTTTAGCAGCTTACTGATCGCGTCCAATGCAGACTTTTCGAAGGATGCAAAGAGATCAGCCTCGAAGACTTTAGACCAAGAGGATGCTATGTTTCGAGTAAACGGATTTGTAAGCTCGACGTTCAGGTCTTGCCGCCAGGAGCCGTGACGGCGCAGGGCTTGGGACCAAGCATGTGTTAATTGGATGGATGATGGCATGATAAACATTACGCCTCACTCGCTCGGTAGGTAGCCCAATGCATTGATGCTGCAAAGGTGTCCGAAGTCTGAACGGCCGCGGCAGCAGCCTGGAGGAAATCCAGTCAATCCATAATATATCCACAATCTAAAGAAATTTAATTACATTCACAGCACCGACTTGACATTTCTCTTCCAGCCCGTCCCCAAATCGATGTTGCAGCTCTTTCACACAATCTTCGATTACCTTCTTGAAGTCCTACATACTGACCGTGAGTCTAACGTCTCACAAACACGAGAGATTAGAATTCACTGTGATGAGACGCGATGTGATCCCGTTATGACCACCACCCCTTTCTACCTTCGGTGGATCCTTGCGCATGGTGTACAACCCTGCTCGCTGTGGGTGCGCTAGAGCATCAAGCATGGCTAGGTCAAACGGATCAGAAGAGCTGGCCCAGTTTCCGAAGATGAAAGCTTCTTCGTCGTCATCATCATCATCAGACAACGATGTCTCCCATTTTTGTCGCAGCGCCTCGCGGTCTGCAGCAGTAATCTCACCGGTACCACAGACGTAGGTAAGTACAGAATTCGCAAAGGTTTTGAGGTGTGTAAGAAAGTTTCGGGCGGCGCGCTCCCGAGATGATACGTTGAGGTGGTGGCACCACTGCTGAAGCTCCGAGATGCCTGTATGTTCAATCTTGGAGAAACATGTCGGATCGCCGTCGCCATCAACTTGACCTACAGAGGCTATGGTGAGAAGAACTAAGGTCCAGAATTCGATTAAGTGCACAAACCTTTGATCCGAACGTAATCCCGCGCAGAACAAGTGAACACAGGGAGATCAATCTCGTCATAATCTGCAAGAGACGTTTTATGAAGCTGTTTTCACGTATAGAGCAACAACTTACTACGCTGATCCACCGTGGGATCAAAATTGTCGGGGTCGCGCTGCTCGGCTGCCGCATCTGCGAAACGGCCATGAGCATCTGCGCAAAGCACGAGCCGGAATACGCACCATCGAGGTCCTTCAGGCCCTGTCGGAAGTCTTCCTTCAGAACCCCTCGGGAATACTGCGATTACGAAGTTAGTTTTTCAAGGTCCGGGGCCATGCTAGACAACGTCGTACATCGGAACGTCGCAGCGAGCATATAGCGTTTTTCTCCCGTTGAGCTTCAGTCTGGCGCTTCTTCAAAGAAGCGAGCATGTCAACTGCCTCCTTCTTTTGCTTGCGAAATGCGTTCAGCTGCATTCTGCCAGCTTTGAGCACATCCTGGGCTTCCTGAATCTTCGCCTTCAAACTGTCAACGGTCACTTCATTCTCCTCTTCGGCTCTCTCATCCTCGCCTTCGGAATCAGACCCAGACTTGGAACCATCACTGTCAGAATCGCTCTCGTCCTTCTCTGAACCATTCTCAGAGTCCGAATCGTTGACTTCGATCTCGTCGTCCTCATCGTCCACAATGAAGTCGTCGAGATCGTCGTCGACGCTCATCGAGTCACCCTCATCATCCCTGTAGTCAAGTCTCCGCCTCTTTGATGACCCCTCCTTGCCGCTGCCCGCATTCTTCCGCTTCCTACCGGAGGTCTTGGACCCTTTGCCTGTCTCGGCGGTCAGACGGGGCTCAAACTCGGTCCCAGTTTCGAGCGCGTCCAGATGCTCCTTGTATTCCTTGAGATAATCGCGCACCTCCTCCAAACCGTTCTCGCAAGCTGACACAAACCAGACTCAGGGATCTTTCTAGTCAAGAACGCGAACGACATACCCTTGATGTTCGATTCGGCATCGGCCTTCTTTTGCTTCCATTCGTCAGACTGCTCCTTAGCTTCCTGAATCTTCTCCTCGACCTCCATGAGGTCTGGATCGTCATAGAGGTTCAGGGCATTGATGACCTCAGAACAGGAGATGTCGTCGCACTTGGTAGCTGAGACACCGTCAATTGCGATTTCACATAATCATAAGAAATGTGGCTTGCCGATGAACGTGATGGCATTCGCATCATAGCTAGGTTGTGCTCAGCGCAACATCGCGACACGATTGTTAAAATGACTCACTTCCCGTCTGCGAAGATCGTGGGCGATACATCACTTCAGCCATTGCATTGTACACCGCTATTAGTAATACGCACCCTCTGCAAGGTTTACCATCAGTACATTGCAATGTGATAGAGACGATGTACCTACTCATGAGCTGCATCTTGAACGCATCTCCCATCAAGTCTACGCCGGCCATCAATGGATGAATGCAGCACCAATGAAGTATTGTGCAAACGTACCGCGAGCAGTCTTGTCATCGACAGCGCGCGTGATCGGAGCCAGGATCCACACACAATCGCACTTCTTCATGTAGTCCTTCGCGATGTTATTACGCGCAGCGTTCGCATCAGCAACACCGGGCAAGTCGACAAGAATCGCGCCTGTTGAGAGGGCACGAGCATCGCACTTGACGTTGACCTGACGGATGAGAGGCCAGAGCGCGGGATCGTTGGAAGTGTCTCCATCTTTCTTCTTGCTGCTGCTACTATCC